GGAAGAGGAACATTTTGTTCATTTGACACTCCAAATGATGCCACTAGAAACAAGTTAATTACAATAGCCAGAAACAAAGGTAAGAAAGCTTGCGTGTGGATTAGCTTCAAATGACAAGCAGTAGCGTATGTAATGTTTTAAATTTTCCTTTTTCCTATGGGGTATGTGTACTACAATCATGAACAAAACTGTATTTAACTTTTCTGGAAATACTTTTATCAGGATAAAGGGAGGAAATGATACAAATTTTATGGAATACCTAATAATGAAATACGAGTTGTCTAAAATGGGCACAGATCTACAGCTACATCCCTCTCTTACTACAGAACTCATAACCAGCTGTAGAAACGGCCAGGTGTCTGAAGCCAAGTGTGCCCTTTTAATTTAACTATGTGTGGGCCTTGGGTTTGCTGCTGTCAGTTTTTGCTGTTACCTGTATCTCTTGAAGCAGGCATTATGCATCTGAACTATTGTGAAAGCAAAATTTTAGTGTTAAAGGCTGATGGCTTTTATTCTTTAAAACTAAGACACCAGGAAGAGAAGGCGAGTGCTTTGTTTCATGGTAACCAAGGCTCTGACCAAAGGCAAGACAAGCTCAGCTCTGTGGTGTAGATTTTTCAAAGAATTAATTGATTCTGGGGTGAAAATAATACCATGCACTTGAGTACTGCAGGAAGGTGTTTGCCAGCACTGAGATATTTTAATTTTCTTTTAATTAAAAATGAAGTAGCTTGCAATTTTGTTTTGAAGAAACCTATTGTTTCGTCTTGTGGCACTGGGGTACTTAACGAGTAGAGCATTGCAGCTTTGAAAGCTCAGATGCTGTTGGAGCTCTTTCCACTGCTGTTTGGATTACTCCCAACATTCCAGGTGTTTTAGCTACAGGCACCCACAATGTTCTTCTAAGTTGCTGTGCAGCTCGAGGCCTTTTTGAACCTCTGACTGCGTGCTGTATTGCTGTGTGGTTAGCAGTGATCTGGGGAGTTCTCCTGGCCCCTGCAGTGAGGTGAACCTCATTTTCTGGGTATTTGGCAAGGATGGAAATGACTAGAGGACCCGTTCTATGCTTGGTTTAGGTGTTGTGCTGGGAGGCTGTGGAGACAGATCGATTCGTTTCCGTCCAACGCTGATCTTCAAGGATCACCATGCACATCTCTTCTTGAACATTTTCAGTGACATCTTAGCAAACTTCAAGTAAAAGCAGTTCCCTCGCACTGAACGCTGACTATGAAATTAGTTTGCATCAATTCATGTCTTCTCTACTTACAAGATAAGTGTAAAGTCATAAACTAAGGTTTGTGGTCCGTCTGTAATCCTGCCCAAGGCAAGCTGCTCCATGCAAACTCGACCCAGGCAGAGCATCGGTAGTGGGCACCAGCAGGTACATGCAGCTGTCTCGCACTGTGCGTTCGTAGAGGCTGTGGCCCTCCATCTTTTGGCTTGGGTCATATTAATTGCAGAGTCCTCTCTACATTCGTGGTTGTGACTATTTGATAGTCTAAATATGACCTGGTACAGTCTGTTTGCACAGGTAATCCCAGCACATTTACTCTTGTATCCAGAAGCAGCCACAAGCCTGCCATACAGAAAGTGCCATTCTCTAATGGTAGCTGGAATAAACCCCGTGTTTCAAGGAAAGCTCTGCTTTCCCCCACTGCCAGTGTTTTACAGTTTTATGCCCCTGAACACCTGCCACACCAACTGGATCAGGACACCATCACCTACTCTCTGCCCAGCTTTCAGCCTGCACACACACCACTTCGGAGGCACTAGTGCACTCAGCCACACATGCGGCGCTGTACATGCAACTTAAGTACTCACACTTTTTCCCTTGTCCTGGATTTTAAAACTTTTGACTTCTCTTACAATCAGACTTGTGCAGAGAAAACTATACCTCAAGGTATCTAATTTGAGAAAGCTTAGAGAATCGTGCAAAGCACATTATTCCCACCTCTCAGCAACCCAGAATGATTTGTAACCATTTACCCCTAACCGCACAATAGGCATTCGTTTATCTATTACACATTCTACACAAATACTTGAGGCATTTTGGAAAACTACTAAGCAGAACTGCTTGATCTCAGCAATTACCTTATGTGGGAGCCACTACAGTGAAGGCCTGGTCCTAACTGCACATCTGTAATGCAAAATAATTCCGTGTTTGTTCTAATAGTTTATTCTGTCATTGATTCTTAAAGATATCTTCTAGAAGACCACAGATCAAAAAGTGTCAACAGTTTGTCAATACATTTCTCCTCAGAGAACTGTTTTGGATGTCTCTTTACTATGTGCTCTTTGTTGTTTGCTTAAGGCTGACCTGAACTAGGCCTGGTGCCTTTCTTTCCCCCTTTTCTTGGCTAGCAAACATCTGGATTTTGCTTAATAAGTTTAACTTTATGTTGTGCACCAAAAAACAGGGATCACAGTGGACTTTAAAGTTGCCCTATTAGGATCTGGCCACAATTTTTAAGTACGTAATGAGACAGAGTGTTAAAATATCTACATGTTTCATACAACTACCAAAATATGAAGTTTCTTACCTGCTTTGAGAAGTATTAATTGTGGTGTTGCCATTTTATTTCTTGAGTGCTGGTATTGGGAAACTCCAGAACACTCACTTCTGCTAGCCTAAAAGTAATGGTATTTCTGTAAACCTCTGCAGAAGCTGGAATCCTGGTATTGGGAAACTCCAGAACACTCACTTCTGCTAGCCTAAAAGTAATGGTATTTCTGTAAACCTCTGCAGAAGCTGGAATCCTGGTACCAGCTGGCCAAACCTGAGCAGGTTTTTGAACAGAGGTTGTAGAAATCTGTGGGAAGGGCTTGTAAACTGGTGTTCAGCACAACCTCATTGTCATCGCTGTCCTTGTAATTGTATTATCAACAAGACGAAAGTCAAACTGAGAACTGCATTTGACAGCATTTTGGAAATTAGTTCGTTTAACATATCAGTGCAGTAGTTTTAGTAAATGTCTCTAGCAAGTCTTGTACTTTTACAGAAGCAAGGGTCCAGTAATTTGAAGTCTTACCACATCTTCACTTTTATTATGAATACTCTAGGTGTTTTTATAATTTTTACTGACACTCAGTAACTGTATAATTGTGTACATGTTGATGAAATCATGTTAGAGAATAACTTAGGAAGCACTGCAGCTGAAGCATATGAAGTTAGTATTGTTTACAGCATACTGTGGACAGTGCCAAATAGATGTTGAAACAAATACTTAACTACACTTCATGGTGTAACTACTAACTGTACACAGATTCGTAGCAAATGACATCTCGTGTAATCAATATTCTTAAATAAAATATTTATAATTGAACTTCTCCAGGCTTTTTATTTTACACCTAGTACATGCCGAAACTGAATCACTGGTGCGTATTAAATACATTCTTGTGAAGTAAGCCTTCAAAAAACATGGTGCATGCACACAGTCCACTGTATTTTGCTGCCACGGTGTTTAAGCCAAGGAACACTTCTCCTTTTGCTATTGCTCTACCATACAGTGTCAGCCAGAATTTAAAAGAATGGAGTTCCCATTAGGAAAAGTTCAACACAGATCAACAGTAAATGAGGGTTAGCCCCTGCACTGACATGGTGTTTTTACTTACCTGCATCTGTGGATCCACCAAGAGACACAAGTTTCAATATCCATGAGGAAGTCACAGGGAGAAAAACACTCCAAATCTCTCTGTGGGTGAGGGTCGGCTTATTTGCTGTGAATTAACAACGAGAATAGCAGTTTAAGGAGTTCACTGGCTTCTGACAACTCAACAAGTGACCAGATTTGGCTTTACATCCTGCTCCTCATTTTTACTGTTTTGGTTTCGCAAAAGGAGGAATCATGCCAACAACCATGGAGTAAGACCACAGAGACACAGGTATTCAGCCCTGCGAGTGCAATGGAATACAAAGCACACATTTCCAGCCTTAATTCAACATCACTTTTAGATGTCATGCCTTTTTTTGTTTCCTTTTAGGTAAACTCAAACTCAGGGAATAGGGAGCGGAAAGGGTATTTGGCAAGGGAGTTTTTGGTGTTAAAGTACGCCCAGATGGGTAAGCACATCAAGGCCATATAGTAACCTTCACAAAAGACAGCTTCATTCATAGTACAAGATAATTTTGGTGGTAACATTTACTGGAGTTTTTGCAACTTGTGTTACAGCATTGATTAAATGTCATTCACAAAACAAACACAAACATGAGTTTGTGCAAAGCAGTTCCAAATTTTCAGATGAAGGATCCAAAGTGAACAAAGACTCTTTAGACTGTCCTTGTAATCCACAGCATCACAGTTTAGGTATGTTTTCCCTTGATTTCTATGAGAAGCTCCTGAAATACTGTCCTAATCTGTAACTTACCCTTACAGCTGAACTGTCCATGTGTCTTGCAACATGTTTTGCCCCATTAAGTTAATGTCCTGGAAGACCTTGCCAAGGGACCCAATACACTGCATCCAGCATCATATGCTGCTCCTCCCAGTCATCCCAATTCCATTAGTGCATGAGCATGTAGCTCCCCGACATCCAGCATTGTCATATGCATGTATGAGTTTTAATTTCGAGAGGCTTCCTAGACAAACTGAAACTTGCTGAAAGAAACAATGAATTGAGGCTGCTGTGACAGCACTTCAAGAGCTTTCCCTGTTCCAGAACCATCTGAGAGGCCAGCGGGAACAGTCGGGGTCAGCAGCAGTAATACGGCCTCCTACTGCACCTTCCAAGTAGAGCACTTTAGACTGAACTGCTGGTGACAGTGCACCAGGCACGTCACTAACTGACATAGAAGAGACACTGCTCATACCTTAAACAAGCTACAAAGCCATTTAATCCAGTGGATTGCTCTTTACCATTGCTACTTTCTACACCGAGTGCACTTACCAGCTAGCTTCGCATAGGAAAATGGCAGAAGTATGTCACTTTGGTAGTTACACTTCACAGAAGAATATGTACAATGAACATGCAACAAGGAAAATCACGGGAAATTAGCTGCTGTATCACTCAGGTTCTCCAAATATTTGAGTAAACTTCTGTCTGTCTACAATCTGGCCAAACCTAATTGTAAAATATAAAATGTCTGTACTGTTATAGCGTTTGAACTGGAGAAGCAGCTCCCCTTTGCTATCCCCAACTTCATCCAAAGGCATCACTGTCTCTAGAGGACAGTAAATGTCATTCCGTCTTCCCCAGAATGTCAAGTGGGCCACTTTAATGGTACGGCCAGTTTCACTTAAGTATATTAATCCAATAATTCGTCTGAAAAAGTAGCTCATACCATACAGCATTGCACCAGCAAAGAATGCAACGCCAGCTGTATACAAGAAGATACTCTGAGAAACTTGGTCCTGCAGGTAGAGGTAGCAGACAGGCGGCAGCATGAGCAGGGTGGTGCCGGTCTGCAGCAGCTTCAGTCGGGACAGCATCCTGCAGTACTTGATCCCTGGGAACCTGTACACCAGCTTGAACTCTTCTGTTTTCCCATCTGCTGCCTTTTGGCTGACCACAGCAGCGGGGGCTGAGTGGCACAGACCCACGGACAGCTCTCGCTGTCTCCCGAGATAATAATTAACTCCATTAACTTGCTGGTTTTGTGCCTGCAAACGCTCCCATGGACCACAAAGCCAGGGTGGCCGAGCATCCTCCTTTTTCCATGCCCTCGTCCAGAGCTCCTTTTGTAGACATCTCCCAAAGGCTGGCACCACGCAGGTCTTTGTCCTAACTCTGCAGAGCCTAGCCTATAAGGAAATATTCCCACAGGTCATCATGTGAGTTGTCTTTATGACCAAACCCCCTTTAGCTCAGAATCTGTTCCTCAGGCACCCAAGGACAGCAAGCAGCAGCCCCAGCTAACTGTAACCTTGCACTTAAAATCAGTGTTACACAAGGCAGCTGGTATTCGTGTCTGTGTTCCTCCCTGCAGCTGAAGCGAGAAAACACTTTTGATAACACAGCCAATATGAGAGCCAGCTTCCTGAACACGGCCTCATGGCATCTCTGCCTCGCTCGGTCTTTGAGCAACATCAAGGTAAAAGCAAAGAGGGTAAGGACGCGGGGCTGCCAGCGAGGGCTATGTTAAATAACCACTTCGGTAACAATCACAGGGAACAGAAAAGAGTTGTCTGACCGCAGTACAGGGAGGCGAGCAGGGGCCGCACCGGAACAGGGCCCTGACGCGAGGGACGTGCGGGGC